ATGAGGCATGAGGCTTTGGTGAGGTTGTGCAAGACTGGATGTCAGAACAAGGATGGTATTCCGATTGGAAAGACATTGAAGTTTGTTTCCAATTCAGCCTGGTTTGCATTAAATCTTCACTCCAAACTTTCTACATGCACATGCCAGACTCATGCAGAACTTTATCAAATCAACTATACTGAGACAGCGTTTTACAACCGGAAGTTGGCAAGATACATTTTGATTGCAGTCAAACATGCTTCGAAGAAGAGTTGAATTCTCGTTTAAAAGGGGCACCCTGTGACAGAGAGAGACAGAAGTTGGATCCACGTTTCGTTTCATTTTGTTCCATTTTCTGTTTGCACGTTGTTTTTCAAACAAACGTTGCCAAAGACAAACAGGAGTTTTCACCATGTTCCATCTTGCGCAGAGTTTTGTTGCGCGATGCTGTAAGATGCAGTGTGTTTGCGCAGCGCAGAACAACCTGAAAGGACTGATCCTATCACGACTGTGATGGCGGTTCGACATTCGTTTCACGTTCTAGGTTGATTGCTCCTAAGAGTTTAGCCACGGTCTAGTGCTTTTTCACTACCGGACGCGGTTTGGTTTGTAGCCATGGCCAAGTCTGGATGGACAGATGAAGATGAGAAGGCTTTGCTTGGTCTTCTTCAGAAGAAGTGGCACAGTGAGAATTCAGGGTCAGGCTATGCAGCCGGATCCAGTATTTTGACTCCTTTGGAGAGTCAAGGAGCAATGACAGATGGAAGCAAGCGACTTCGTGAGGCTCTGGATGATGATGAATTCGATTTGATTTCTTCGGCAGCTGAACCTTTGAGTGCGCAGTTGCCTGTGATGCCTATCCCAATCTTTCCTGGGATCTCCGACAAGGTCCTTGATCAGCTTACTGCTGATTTGGTGCCTGAAGGCATGAGTTTTCGAGATTGGAGCAGAACGAAGTTTGCGTTTGGAAAGTTTGCCAACGAAGGCAAAACATACCGAGAGGTCTATGTCGATGATGAGATGGCCGGATATTGCAAATGGAGTATGTGTCACCTGGGAAACAAGAGTACAAGTCCAATTGCAAAGGATTGGTATTCTTTTCTCTGCGCATGCAAGGTTGTGGAGGACTCTGGAAAGGTTGGAAAGCCAAAGGGTTGCTTCACTGGAACTTCAGTGCAGAGGCAGCTGGGTGATTGAGAGTATCCTCATTGGTGCAAAGGCGAGGAAAAGACTATGAGCTGGTTGTTCATTGGATGGTGGACAACGGGACAATTCGTACTATATGTATTGACCTGTCGAGTTTGAGCGATATGTGCTGAAGTCTGGATGGGTTACAGCGTATACCTATGGAATGGAGTTCATCTCAAAAGGGGGTGTGAAAATCTGACATCTGTGAGGAGATGTCCGACATCTGTGGTGAGATGAATCCACTTGGTCTTTTCTGCATTGGAAGAAGTGAATTTGTTTTTCATCTTGATGATGAGCTCAACCGTGATGGTTGACATCGTATTTGCACGTTTCATGTTTTGCACGTTTTATTGGAGATGACGAAACCCAACAACGATATACTTTTCGTCTTCTTTGAGTACTTTGATTGCACGGAGAACATCGTGAGGATTTGAATTTGTATAGTGACATGGAAAATCAAACCATTTTCCATATGTTTTGCTTTAGTTTTTGCCGGCAGAACGATGGCAGAATCATCGCAGAATGATCGCAGAAGTACACGAAGGAATCGTGAGAAGATCGTAGAATTCATTTTGTGACTTCGGAAGAAGGAACTTTGTTTGACATTGATCGGAGAAGTGTAGTTTGTTTTGTCTCTCAATGATGATAGCGAGAGCAACATTCTGAAAGGCATTCAGAACTGGAGTGGCTAACAGATCTGAGGGAGACATCATGAATCATGTTTTGTTGCTTGAAATGTTTCAACGTTTTTCAAACACTCAAACTTATTTAAACAAACAAACCATGTCTTGATGTAAAGACTTTTTGTGAGGACATGTGTTTTTGATCGCTTTTGTGAAGTTGACAGAAACATGTCAATTGGCGACTCCGCATCATTTTGTGTCAAGGCGTGACACACCAACAAGAACCATAGCGACATGAGCAAACATCTTGTTTCTGTGCTTGTGTGTGTAAAAGTGGCTGAGCTCTGGGAGTGGTTGACTTGGTTGCGTGGACGGTCTTAGTGAGTTAAGGACGACGTCCTGGACGCTGACCCAAGTAGGTTTCGAAGGTTGCGGTACCTTCTGCACCAAGTGGCGCTTTCTGTACCGCCAGCTAGTTAGTCCATGAATTCCACGAATTCGATACAGTGTATCTCGTCACTGATAATCGGGATCTAGTAGCAGGCTCGCTCAGTAACATACCTGGGCTTGGCCACTGGCCTGTGGTAGCCGCCTGGTGGAGGGAGAGAATCAAATATGTCGGACCCTACTCAGAACGCACGACAGTTGTCTTCGTCCCAACAAATGAGGACACTGGACTGGATGGAGTCCACCCCACATGGGCTGGCACCTCTGTCCTGATGCCTGTGTCAACCTGTTCCCCACCACCAACTTTGCCCTCATAGATAGTCACACTATTTAAGATCCAAGAACTGTGGCGTTCATGTGACTTCAATCCTGGTCACCCTAATGACACCAATGAGACAGATACACAGCCTACGAGCCCTATCGCACCGGCGCACAAGCACGCCCGATCGGACCCAACAACTCAGCCCCCCGCCAAATTATCCAAATCCCGTAGTGTGGAAAATATGGCTATGATACCTGGCCCCTCGCCCTTTCCTGGCTCGCCTGACAATCTAGAAGAGCAAGTTGATTATGGTGGATCGGATGGTCCCAGCCCCAGCACCCCAGGCCAGAGGGAAGACACCAGTGAGAACCCCTCCCCAGCTGACACTCCAGAAGATGCCCCCCTGCCTGCTGAGATGCCTACAAGAGTGCAGAAGAAGCACCCCGACAAAGGGGTCATCCTGGTCAGTGAAGCTTTCACTGAGGTCAAGGCTGGCTTAGTAATTGTCTTGAAATCTGGTCATGAGGGTCCAATCCCAGAGTCAGACTTGTTTGATGTCAATCGAGATCCAGATGAGCTCTCGGTAATAATAACTGCAGCGTATCTTAAGCACGTTGAAGACTATTTGGCTACCACCAGCCCTCCGGTTGACACAGAGATGGCAGTTTCTAGTGTTGGAAATTTTTAATTCAGAGATCAGATCGAAGATTGACTCTCCTACCTGGAAAGGTATTCCCCGAAGGGTTCATGCCACCGTGACGAATCCAGCATGAATCACACACTTGCTCAGAACAATCTTTGCGAATTCTGGTGTGGAATGCATCTTACGTGCAAAAACACTCCAGTTACACCTGACAGGAATGGGTCGGTGAAAAGACCCGAGAAGGTATCGAAAAGTTACCATTGCCAAAGTTAGAGCTAGATGCAATGAAATGGAATCTGACCCTTCAATTGTCAAATGAAAAAGGCAGTTTGCGACAACAGTGCAGAAGAAAAGAGAAACCTTCAAATAACAGGAAATGATTGACATGCCGGTTCTGGGCTGAGCCGGTTTCCATTCACGAAGGTTGGAAAATTGACAGCGATACTGTTTCAAAGTGAGTGCAGGTACGTCCAGGTGATCAGCTTGCATATCCTAAGGACACCATAGAGAGCTTCGTCGGGCACAGCACTATGGGCCTTCTGTGCCCCCCTGCTGTGTTAAACTGACATGGAGATTTAAAACCGAAAATCAAGTGACAAAATGCGCGGTGCATGAGTAGAATGAGAAACCGGCAAAGAGAGGTGACATCAACAGGTAGAAGTTTTACCTCTATTCAGATGTTTCACACACACACAAAAAAAATAAGCAACGCTTTATTTTTACAAATCTTTCTGAAGCGTGCTGCGAAGCCAAGCGCTGGAACATTCTCCGGAACCCTGTTGAACCTGACCTGGCTGCACCGAAGCCTCCCAGACCTTCTCCGGGAACTTTCTCCAGAACCCTATTGAACCGGACCTGGCAGCACCAAGGCCTTCCAGACCTTCTCCGGAAGCTTCTTTGCACCAAAGCCTCCCGGAACCTTCTCCGGAACCTGACCCTGTTGAATCTGGCCTGGCTCTGCGCCAAAGACTCCCAGACTTTCTCCGGAACCTTCTCCGGAACCCTGTTGAACCTGACATGGCTCTGCACCAAAGACTCCCGGAACCTTCTCCGGAATGTGTTCCGGAACCCTGTTGAACCTGACCTGCCTTTGCACCAAAGCCTTCGAGACGTTCCCCGGAACCTTCTCCGGAACCTTCCTGGCTCTGCACCAAAGCCTCTCACACCTTCTCCGGAACTTTTCGAAAACCTGTTGAACCTGACTTGGATCTGCACCAAAGCCTTCCGGAACCTTCTCCGGAACCTATTCCGGAACCCTGTTGAACCTGACCCTGTTGAACCTGACCCTTCGGGGCCTTCTCTGGAACATTCTGGAACCCTGTTCTGGTTCTGCACCAAAGCCTCCCCGACCTTCTCCGGAACCTTCTCCGGAAATTTGTTGAACCTGACTTGGCTTTGCACCAAGCCTTCCTGGAACCCTCTCCGGAACCTTCTCCGGAACCCTGTTGAACCTGACTGGGCTTTGCACCAAGGCTTCCTGGAACCTTCTCCGGAACCTGTTCCGGAACTTCCAGAACCCTGTCTCTGCACCAAAGCCTCCCAGACCTTCTTCGGAACCTTCTCCGGAACCCTGTTGAACCAAAGCCTCCCAGACCTTCTCCGGAACCTTCGACCTGACCCGGCGCCTGCACCAGTGCACACCGGAGCTATTCTGGGCTGAAGACACCATTAGCTTACGCTGTTGGGGAAAAAAAGCCGGAAGATATGTCGGAAGATTTCCAAAAAACATCAGAAGAAATGTCAAAGAACATGTTGCGTGTCTTGTCAAAGAACCTGTTTTGCGGGTGGCTAGGAGTTGCGCTGCATGTTTTCCAATAAAGGTGCATAGGTTTTCAAATATTTTGCAGGCCATTCGGCCATGGACCCACTTTGGCTTGGTGATATCTGCTCAGCAGGGTGCTCAGCTTATTTTGCAAGGTGCCAGTGGAAGATCGCTTCGATCCTGAATAAGGTGGCATGGCGTCGAGATGTTTGTCGAGTGTCTCGAATGCACCCGCGACCCTGACGCATTGGCCAAGTTCTCAAGGTTCCCAGTCTTTGTGCTAACGCTTGTGTTGGGCGAACGAGTTGCAAAACTGTAGGTGCAGGACTTGGTAGTCAGCACCAAAGTCATGGTCCTGGAAGACGCCGGGTGGGTCACCAGGCAAATGGTGGACGCAGACAGCCCAGGCCAAACTCTGTGGCCGCGCAGTGTGGTGCTGTGATGTCTTTCCAGTTTGGTGTGAGTGTTGAATTATCTGGGTTTCTCCAGCCAAACATTTTCCAGGAGTGAATGGCTTGAAGCTCTCTGAGAAATCAACACGATGAGTCCTCACAACTGGCAGGAAGCAGTATAATGGAGACCGACGAGAGTGACCTGGGCTCAGCGGAGTGGTGGTGTAGCCATCACGCCCCTGTAGCAGTTCAGCAGCGGCGTTCATCTCCAAAGCCTGTGCATGAGGTTGTGACGTTCTGGAGAGCCCCACACAACTTGCGCCCGTCTAGGGAGACGGCGCAGGAAGTGATGGGGCGGATCCGAAGCCGAGCTCACTTTTGGAGCATTGGCCTCAGAAGGTTGAACTTGAGCAGCTGTTAGCAGATAGAAGTTGGCAAGATAGAAGATGAGGCAGTTTCTGTCAGGTCTCTATCCCATCTTCTGTGGGGTCTGCTCCATGTGCTGTTGCGGCTTTTGCTGCTGCTGGCCAGGACCTCAGCAAAGCATGTTTGCACAGCAGAGTCAAGCGTGCATATTCCAATAGTCTTTGCGCAGTTGTTGCGTTGATGACGCCCGAGCAGCATGGCGGCGCGCGTCTTAGCTTTCAAAGCCTGAGTGTGCATTGTGTGCACATCAGAAGATGGGTCGCCCAGGTCGCCCGAGTGGATCTGCACCTCCCTCGTAGTGGTCTTTTTCCAGATGTCTTCAGATCTGGAAGGGATGCCCTTGCCGATCAACATCCAGGCTTGGCATGCAGCTTTAGCATTTTGCAGGGAATATCAAGGAATGATGTGCAGGCAGATAGGGTGCTGCCTTACACTCTGGTGACGTGGATGCGTGAGTTCGGGCCCAAAGCTATATTGCGAATATCATTTTACAGCTTCCAGAGCTGAACATATCCCTAAAAACATTAAAGATGATTCAGATATAGAACTTTTGCTTCCGAAACTTGTTTTTGTGTAATTGAGAGTGCTGATATTTTTTGAAGATTTCTCAAGTTAAGGTCGGGTTTCTCGAACCTCCCGATCTGAGCGTGGCGTGCATGTTGGGTTGAATTCGCTTTGTGCCTTAAGCGAAGCTAGAGCTAAGTGGCTACAAGAGGCCGAGGTTTGCTGTGAGTGGGAACCTGAACATTAGGCACAAATGCCCTGGAAGATTACATATACGTTGGATTGGTGAAAATTTTGTCAAAGATTTCGTTGCTTCAACTCAAGTTCCAACATGAAACCAAGTGCCCAGCGCCCCGCAATGTCTTGTGTATATTCTAGTGCACATTAATCAGTAATGTATGTATTGTACACGAGCTTGATCAGTTTTGTTCACTAGTAAGAAGCCGGCCTCTTGTGTTCTGCAAAACCCGTTTTTCAAACCTGGAAATTTTGGATTCTCTCGTTTCCTAGGTTTTTTGGTTTTGCTGGGGTGATCCGGTTTTGTGGCTGCCATTTTGGGTCAAGTTGTGGTGTTTGGTAGATCGCTGTTCTACCTTCGGTTTTCCTTTTAGTTGCCCTGGTTTTGACAGGTATTGGGATTCAGTTTCTTCACTGCCCTTTTTGAACCTGTTTTGCATGGACGGCAGCATTTGGAAGACATTTTTTGGAGTGCAGTTTTCAACATGAGTCTTGCTGATGCACCAGTTTGTGTAGTGAAACGTTTTCGAAAACTTGACTCAACTGCCTGTGCAACACCACTTCGTACAGCACCTTCGTCCAGTTCTTCTGCAGGATCATTTGAGTTGATTACAGGGGATATCAAACAACCTGAGGTTGAATCTGGTCAGGACCTCATTGAGTTTAGTCCAATTTCACCGGTTGATCTTTTTGCTGCAGAGACGGAATCGGATGTTGGTTTTCAAAATCGCTGGACTGAATTTGGAGACTATGACTTTAACTATCAACCTGGAGGTGCCTCTGACCCGTTTGCGACAGCTGGACGTAGGTTGAACAGTTTTGGGACTTCTGGTGACACAGCCTGGCAGCCACCTCAGAAACAGACGCGGCATTTTGTTGCACCTGGTTTTCAAAAGGCTGTCTCATTGTGGCAACCGCCTCCAGCAGTCCGTAAGTCGAGAGCTTCACTGGATTTTCATGTGCAGCCTGTGGCGCAATCACATCATTTGTCATCACCTGTGATCTTGTCTTCCAGGGTCATGTGTGCGGACATGCCAGTGGTACGAACTCCATTGGCACCTCCCTCCCAGCAGGGTCCATCCCAGTCTATGCAGCAGGCGTGGTCAGCGGCTAAGCAGGACCTGAATGCACAGTGGTTGGAATTGCTACTGGATATGGGGTCAGCTAGCGGTCTCTACCTGTCTACTGCCAATTCAAGGAACATGGATGAACACAGACTGCGGGTTATATCAAAGTTTGCTCCATCGACCTTACAATCATACTTTCGCATTTGGAAGCGATGGAATGAATTCGCACGTCAGTTGGCTGTGTGTCCATTTCAACCTGACTCGGCCTTCCTGGCGGATTTTTTGGCAGAGCATGCGCATGGACCTTTGCTTGTGGCCACTGCCTATCACAAAGGCCTCACATGGATGGCACGACATGCTCAACTGTCAGAACTGTTTCAGGCCCTGCAGACCGCTGTGTGCAAGGCCTATCTGCAGTCCTCGGTCATCAGGGAGAAACGTGAGTCTGCACCTCTGCCATTGTCATTTGTGGTTTTCTTAGAGAAGATGGTTTTATCTAGGACTACATCAGCTGGTGACATCTTGCAGTTGGGTGCCTTGCTTTTTCTGATATGGAGCAGCTTGAGATGGTCAGATGCACTGTGGGTGGACCCGAACTCACTGACAATTCAGCAGCATGCAGTTTTTGCAATGGCATCTCATACCAAGACGACCAACAGGGGCATGCCCATTGCATGCTACGCATTTGGTCTTTTGGGCCATCATGGGACTACGTGCTGGGCTCAGCATTGGATGAATGTGATTCAACAGGCAATGCATGACACCCAGCAGCTCTATCCTTCATTTGCAGTGGATTTTTTACTGACTGAAGTGGGTCCAGACATGTGTAAGCCCATGTTCTTGCGCCCCATGCCACGGGACAGAGGATTGCAACTGTTGCGTTACTGGATGTGCAAATGCCATGAATCTTACCAAGTGAAGGCTCAACCCACTGATTTTCACCTTTTGGGCACGCACTCCTGCAAGACTACATTGTTATGCTGGTCACAACAGTTGCAATTGCCATTGGAACAGCGACAGCTCCAAGGGCACCATCGATCAGCGGTCAATGGATCAGTTGCGTTATACAGTCGCAATGACACACTGCCTGCGTTGACGCTTCAATGCACGGTGGCACAAAGGATTGCTGAGGGCTTTCGCCCACTTCGCCCAATGTTGCGCGGTGGGGCACCATCCCTGCCTGATTTCAATCTGCAGCTGCCCCCATGGAAGCCCCTGGCATTTCAGTTGGATTCCAAGCCTACTGCACCAGACACGATGCAGGTCCAGGCCGACGAGGCTCCAGACCAACCAGTGCAATCAGATTCAGAGGAGTCAGATGCTTCGGAAGAGTCGGCCATTGACGACGAGCTTCCTGACAAGCTTGCTGCTGCTCCTGAAGAGATGGCCTTTTTGGTGAACCCCATCACGAAGGTTGCACACTTAGCCATTCAGTGTGACCGCTCTGACCGAGCTGTGTGTTATGAAGACGCAACTTTGACACCGTTCCGAACGGGTTGTGGGGCCCGTCCAAATGCCATTTCCGGTGACTTGCAGTTCACCCATTGCCTTCCAGAAGGTGCGCGCTTGTGCCTCCGTCGAGCATGTGCCAAGATTATGTCACATGTTGCTTGATTTGAAAAAATGGCAGTGGCTGCAAACTGTTTAATCATTTTTTCATTTTGAAGTGCCGAGGCCGAGATCCCTCATTGAGAGTGAACTAACCACACAACACTGATGCCGCTGCATGTGTGTTCATTTTATCATCACCGCTGTGATGTACCTGACTTCCCACTTGCCTGGTCATATCTTTGATCCAGCGCTTATGGATGATGCCCGAAGTGATTCATTTGCATCTCGGTTTGGCTCCAGTTGGTAGGCACGGTCATGTGTTTTTTCATGCTTTATGTTTACATTCGTCATTTGCACATTCTGATCATGTCAATGTTTTGCATGGACTGTGACTAGGGCTTTTTCGCTCTGATCTAGGGTAGCAATGCCTCCTGCTCCAGTGCCGACTTTCAACAGCCGCACAACGGGCATGATTGCGCAGGCAGTCTCTTTGATGATGGTCTGGCTGGCCCCGCAAGGGGATGCTGCTTTGATTCGCTTAGAGAATACGAAGGAAGCGCTTAATCGCGCATGCCAGATGCTTTCAGTCCATGGATCGTGGTCGTGGATGCCAAAGATGGCATGCGCGCTGGCTCGATCGATCGTTGGCCTCCAGTCAGAGGTCGCCCAGCTCGATAACATCTGTTATCGGTCGTGGGACTACAGACAGCCGTCACACGCTGTTCTGGACAGCATTGCTGGCCTCTCCCCAGATACAGCAGTTCTGTGGCAATCGGAGCTCCTTGCAGCGGCTACCCTCTTTGACGATTTTGCCACTGAGGTCGCCCGGACTGGAAACCTCGAGGTTTGGGGTACTATCAGACATGCTGCTGATGGCACAAGGGACTTGCATGACCTAGTGGGTGCTCATATCACTCGGTTGTCCCAGCTGAAGGACCCCTAGCCCCTTTTTGAGTCGTTGACAGCCCCGCTGCACCAGATGCCCCTTACATATGTGGCATTTGCGAGATTTTTTGCATTGACTGTAGAGCCTTGATTTGCTCTCCGGCGTTGAAAAAGTGTTGCCCGCTGGCAGCCAAATCTGGTAGGTGATCTCCTGCCACACGTTGCAATGACATGTCAAACCGCGATGACATGACTTGCCATGCGAACATTTTGATCAAATGTGCATTCAGTCCAATTTTTCCAACATGCATGATGCTGTCGTTTTGAAACATTGGGAGCTCTACGTGTGTGGCTCTTAGCACAGCTGGCACCGTTGCGTGTCTCATTGCATGACCAACCTTTATATCTTCACGGTTTTTCATTTCATCCTTGCAATCATTGCTGATCATTTGAACTGTTTTAATTTTCATTTTCATGTGTGGGTTCTCTCACCTCTAGTCCCTCACAATGGCACAACTTGCACTGGATGATCCCACTGCTCTGAAGAAGCTCCTGGGAGATTGCGCAGTTCCGGCTACAATTGCGGCCAATTTGGAACTGTTAGGCTACCGTTCAGTAGCTCTCCTTGGATTTGCAGTTCCAAGTGATGGACAGGTGGACGACCTTATCGAAAAGCTCCTGCCGCGTGACCTAGGAGAACCAATCGACCTGTTGTCACCAGGCGCAGCGAGTTTGAGGCGTGTGATCCGTCAATGTTTTGAAGCATGTCAGGCCAAAGGTGGCTTACCTTGTGAACCCAACCATGCAGTTGCTGCCAAGCCGAAACTTTCACTGGCGGAATACAAAGAGTTGAAGATGAAGTTTATGGAACATTTTCCAGGCGAACTTCTGACACCGGAATCTACGCCCAGTTTTATGTTTCTGGCTAGCTTGAAGGACCAGGTTGATACTGGTACATGGACATGGACTCCTTGGCGACACCATATATCTGAACATGCTGAGATGCTTTTTCAAGAAAACCGAAAGCCGAGATCAGACCATCAGTTGCTCCAGCGCATGCTCAATCAGCAGGAGCTGATGGATTTTCCTGAAGCTAGCGTGCCATCAGGTGGCCCTGTTGAACCCGTTTTGATGAGGTTTCAAACGCTTCTTGCCAATGCCTTGGCTATGCTGCAGCTGGTCCACTTGATTGTCATCAAAAAGTTTCACAACAAGTTCAATGAGTTGGCTCTGGCCGCCCCAGTTGACTCATCCTTGCGATCGCCCAACTTGCAGGAAGTTCTGGCTGCAGATAAGTCAGTGTGGTTGGCTGTGACTTCGGCGATGAGGGACAACAGTTGGTCCCTTAGTGATACGATGTCAGAAATTGCTTACTGCCGCCAAGACATGCAGACAGCATTGCAACCTCGACCTCGAACACATCAAGCCCCGGTCACTCCAAAGAAGGTGGAACCCAAGGCCACTCCGAAGAAGCCTGGCAACCCACCTCCTGTTCGCAAGGATGATCGTCTGAAAGATTGGAATGACACTTGGGTGCGCAAGCACAATGGCAAGGGCATTTGTATGCGTTGGAACGTATCCAAGTGTGGAAGTGGAGACACATGCAGATTCCTTCATGTCTGCCCTATCCCTAAGGCTGACGGTACCCCTTGTGCTCAGAAGCATCCGGCCAAGGCCCACAAGGGCGCTCCGCACTGACCAAAGAGCATGGTGCTGCCTACAACAGTGGATTTGGAGCCACCTCCTGGCGATTTTTCTTTGAAAGCTTGGCCAGTTGCATCAGCCTGCGAGCCGATCGTTGTGGACAGTTTGCATGATTCATTTTCGTATTTCCTTGACATTTTCTCTGGTGCATCCTCCCCAGTCTCAGTGGCGGTGAGGGCTTTGCATGCGGACTCCATTGAACCAGTGGATTTAATTTTTGGGCAGCATTGCGATTTGCTTGATGACGTGGTTTTTCACAATGTGTTGGATCTGGCAGCATCGGGACTGATCGGAGCAGCTCTAGCAGCTCCATATTGTTCAAAACACTCTATGGCGACCCTTCGCCCTAATGGCCCAAAACCGGTTCGAACTCCGGATGCTTTGGATGGATTGCCCACCAACAATGCATTGCAGGATCTTCAAGTCCAGGAATCAGCAACCGTGCATGATCGGGCGCGGCACATCTTGACCTTGGTGGCTGCAAAAGGCGGCATTGTCGTCATCGAAAACCCTTTGACCAGCATGACATGGCTGGACCTGCTCATGAGCGCTTGGGTTCGTGCCACATCTCCCTACCTTGCTGCAGCTTCCGCATGCAGATTTGGGGAAGACTGGCAGAAGTCCTGGCTGTTTTGCTCCAACAGATCTGATATCCTGGCGGTCGGTTTGGGCTGTGACCATAACCCAAAATCCCATCTGAATTTTGCAGGCCTTCGACTTCCTGATGGCTCATTTTACAGCCGGCTTACAGCTTGTTATCCTAAGATGTTGGCCGAGGCTCTGGCCCAGATCTTCATCCCCTATTTGTCCAAACATTCGAAGGTGGCGACATTGAAGGCATGGCCATCCTGTTCGCCGTCGAGTTTTATTCCCCAACCATTGTCACAACGGGTGGAGGATGGAGGTGGCCTTATTAGCACGGCAGTTTGGCATTCACCGCAGGCACCGGACGTTTTGGGAGGCTTGCGCAAACGCTGGACCTCTCGCACCCTTAGCATGGGGTTACATTCACAAATCCTGTCGCATTTTGCAACGGGGTCCAAAGCTCCCCCATTGTCAGATCAGCAGTTACAGGGCTTCTTGACTGACGTGCAAGAATGTTTGGACATCCCTGACCAAACTTGGGAATCAACTTTGCAGGTAACTCCTGGCCAACCATTTCGGTTGGAACTCTGGCGTCTCCTCTTGCAGGAAATGAACGACCCTGACATTGCATTTCTTGATGAACTTCGGAGTGGGGTCCGCTTGGGGGTCAATAACGATATCCCAGCTTCACCTTTGTGGCCCATGCAACAGTCTACTGTTTCAGATGATCAGGAGTTGCTACAATGTGAGTCGTCATGGAAGAGCGCCTTGGACCAACCGGAAGTAGTTTGGCAACTACTCCAGGAGGAGCTGGATTCCGGCTTTATCGAGCGTGTTCCGGGGGGTCTTACACAACTGCAACAGGAGCATGAGCACACGGCTGTTGGAAAGCTTGGCTTGGTGTGTGTGCCGACAACAGACCTCCTAGATTGGTGGTCGACTCAACCGTTTCGGGTGTTACACAAAATACATCAATTCCAAACCGCATGCTATTGCCGAAGATTTCTGATGTTTTGCAGGCAGCTCCGTTGCAACCTTCATCCTTGGAGCTGATCGCCTTCACTCTCGATGTCTCGAAGGCTCATCGCCGGATTAAAATTGATCCACGTGATCAAGGCCTGCTGTGCTTTTGGTATCAAGATGTTCTTTTCAAAAGCAAAACATTGAATTTTGGTGCGAGGGCTAGCGGATATTTTTGGGCTCGTGTTGCTGGTTTGATGGTACGCACTTTCCATCGCTTGTTGCATGTCAGGCATGCACTCTTTCAATATGTTGATGATCTGCTGGTCCTTCTTGAGGCGGCTACTTCCCCAGTTTGGATTGGCGTCCTTACCATTGCATGTCAAATTTTGGGTATACCCATGTCCTGGCATAAAACGGATTGGGGACCGGCCGTGACATGGATTGGCTGGCACATCAATGTACATCGATGGGTGGTTTCAATCACTCCTGACAAGCGTGATAAGATTCTCGCACAAATTGACAGTTTGCTGCGCTCATCCAGATGTGAATTGAAGGTCTTGGAATCTTTAACTGGGCGACTACTCTGGGTTTCATCTTTATGGGACACTTTACGTCCCCTGTTGGGACCACTGTATCATGCGCTGATGACTATCCCTCTCACCTTGGTGTCGATTTCACCTCATCAATGGCCTGAACTTCTTGATGTTCTGCAAGATGATCTATGCCTATCAAAGTCTATGACTCATCCTTCCCTACGAAAGTCCGTGAAGGTGATTCGTGTGGCGAATTTCACACTGCGAGATCGCGATCATGCCAAATCACTGCATTTCAAATCTCGCAGGATATGGCTTGGTATTCAAATCCCTGGGTCTAGCAAACGCAAGCTGCTACCCGAAACGCATGAGGCCTTGCAGGCTTGGAAAGAT